TAAGTCACAGCAATGTCCCCACTTTATCAGAACCGTTTGGACTTTTGGTATATTTCAGTTAAAGTGTGTTTTAAATCTGTATCATGGATTTGTGACATTGCTTCCTTATTGTCATAGTAGACTATGTGGCAGGCAAGGGTAGGATCCAAGCGCAGGACTCAGAGGCGGGAGAAATAAAACAAAAGAGGCAGCTTTCGTGCTGTGATACAAAAATGAGCAATGAGCAGAGGGAGATTGAGGATTTAAATACACACAGGATAACGAAAGGATGGGCGACAGGTGGGAACACAGGAGGAACAAATCACACATAATAAGACAGGGGAAGCAAAACTGAACATGCAGAACACAGGACGAGACACTGTTAAAATAAAACGAAACACACTGAGAGGTAGACTAAGACACACAGGCTTGACACTGGGGCCAGGGGAGAAACAGACATGGGGACGTGATTGACACTAAATAGACACAAAAGAACCACCAATCACTGAGATGAAAAAAAACAAACAAACGTGAAAACAAGACTGACTAACCACAGGAGGAGACGAGACACTAAGGGAGAGAAACTTAAAAATCACAAGGAACTGAAGACTAACTCAAACATACTTATTAAAAGACTTAAAAGTTATCATGAACCTTGGAAGAACAGAAAAGTTTTCAATATTAAGCAACAAACTCCACAAACTAGAAAACACTGGGTCATAGTATGTTACAGTTTCTTGGAATTTACTGGTGCTTAGACCAGCAGCACTACAGCTTAGAGTTTGAGATCTTGAAACATTGCTATTCTGCTGTAGTTGGTGCTGGAGTCCTGCTGCTAAAAACCAGTATTAGAAGAATTATAAACCTAGGAACTTAATCCCATAACATCACTGTGGTGCAATAAACCATTGCTCATCTGAGACTCTACCAAACATCTACCTTCTTTTTACTTTGTGTCAGATGGCAGAGGGAGACAAAGCTGCCAAGAAGAAGAAGCACGGGAGCCGGAACCCGGTTCTGGCCCGGGGCATCGGTCGCTACTGCTGGTCTGCTCGCAGGGCTATATATAAGAAAAAGCCCAAGACCACTGAGACCAAGAGGCAGACCTGTGGTGCCATACAATTTTTTTAATATTGATCAAAGACATGCCACTTTTTCTTTGTCACTTTTTTAGATGATAATTTGTTTTGCTCCAGGTGGACAATAAGAGTAAGGCTAGACCGAAGGCTAGTCATCAAGACTGTTAGAAGAGACAACAGTTCGGGAGGCCAGTCGCATGGCCAGCATTGGGCATGATGGTGATCTGGAAGACGACAAAGCAGGCAAAGCAGGCCTAGGGTTCAACCATTACAGCGAAGACTAATGGGTAACAGCACTGGAAACCGACAACAAAATCCTTCAGGTGGCTTAGTTGGTGGCTTGCAGCGATTGGCAGGTGGCCTGCTGGAGCGTGGATTCATTGGTGGCTGGCAGCAATTGAGATGGAGACCCTTGGGATACCCTTGGCAGGTGGACTCCACTCCGGCGTGGTGGCAGGCAGCGGCATGGAGACCTTGGCAGGTACTGGTATGTAGTCTGTGGCATGCAGCAGAGAGGGACCAACAGGTTTGGTCCAAGAAGCAGCGGGTGGTGTGGCATCCGAGCGCCCCACAATGCAATTAACATGCAACATGAATGCTACAACAATGGCGGACGTCGAGGCAAGAATATACTTGTTGTTCTGTTTGTGTCTTTTCGTCAGAATCGGGGAACACGGGATTGTTTTTCGTAGCCATTTCCCTCTTTTCCGGGTTTCGGAAATGGCGGTGTTGATATTTGTGAACAAAATGCTCTCATGAATCATCGAGTATCACAATTTAAGACCTTCTCGGACCGCTTGGAACTGTGGCCGAGCAGGTACTAAAAACGTGTCTGGTACCAGGTACTATGACCAAATGGAAAACCCTGAAAACTGAGGCAAACCGAACTGAGTTGATCCGCGGAGGTATTTATGGAAAAGGGGCTAGAGCAACAGAAAATCAATATTTGGACTACAAGTACCATCACATCCTGTAAACTTAACGTAAACGTAACGTAACGACGCTGGGCAACAGCCTTCCCCAGCGTCCTTATATACATCACACGCCTGGATGTCGATCTTTTTGTCTTCGGAAAGGTAAGACAGCCGTGACTTCGTGTTGCTGTAGGAAAAAAAAATCTGCTTTCATCCATGATACAGAATAAAAAACACTCTCCAATTATCATGAGATGATTCTTTATGTTTAGACGATACAGTAGATAGCATTATTTCCATGATTTATTCGTCATGTTACTGTTGATATCTTTAGATGTGCAGCTTTAGGCCACCGCT